ATAAACCCCATATAAATTATCTACTGTTAGTCTCTAAAATCTACTTATAAACGAAAAACAGAAGATATTTGCTCGAAAGAAAATTATTATCTATATTCATTTGTTTGTAATATGCATGGTCAGAAAAATCAAACCTAGTTTACTTCCTTGAAGCTGCATTTATTAGTAGCAATGCAGAATAATCATGTCGCGATAGTGTAGCATCTATGATGAATTATAGACCAGTGGGGTTGTTTGACCTTGTTTTCGTAATTTAGTCATATTGGTAGGAAGACTTAGAGGAACTTACCTAGTCCGGAGTCTATTGTATGCATGATAATTTCCAAATTCGGACCGTGGGCGTGGTATATTCCCAGACGTTTCACCGACATCGTAGTCGGCATCGTCAGTGAGTCTCGCCATTCTTAGTACCACACAAAAACTCACTGACGATGCCGGCGAAACGTCTGGGAATGTACCACGTCTACGGACCGACTTTGGACATTATCATGCATACAATGGACTCCGGACTAGGTGCGTCTTCCTACCAATATAGCCAAGTTGCGAAAACAAGGTAAAATAACCTCTATACAACGAAAGGAGACTGCGACAACGCGAAAGGCCACACCATCTTGGTCTTGCTACCTTCGATTCAAAGTGAGATTCGATACCAATTAGTGTGTTTTTGGTCGTCTTTATCCATAGAGAGAACCTGCCGAAGACATTTTGATGCTATCAAGTCCGATATATAAGATGCTGGTGAAATATTGGAAAGTAAGTCTGACTTTCAGAAGAATGTTATCATAGCATATAAAGCAGCAGAGGCTACCTAAAATAGTAAAAAAGATTCCAAGCAACTATCGCATACACCAAAAAACTTTGTTTAAAATTAGCTTTCATGAAGCAAGAAGGGATTTAGTCTCTCTCTACCAAAAAAGGTGACAAAAATATAAGTATAACATTCCTACGGCAGACATTATGCAAATTTAAAGGAAATGTTTTTTATCACTAAGCCGGCGCCAACATACTCATATGAAATTCCTCAGAAATGAAGTTGCCTAATGGAAAATTTAAATCCATACGGCCAAAATATAGTGAGCACTGCATTTATGCTCAAGCGATAAAGTAAGTATTACTCTGATAAAATTGCAGTTCTATGTAAGAATTTTTTTAGAAAACAACTATTCTGCATTTAATTCCTAGAAGTTCGCTGGCCTAAACTTAGGTTTTCGGACTGCAAGTAATTCACAAACTAATCTTACTCTATTTAAGTACAAATTTTCCAAATTGATATGAATCATAGATGTTTAAAAGGAAAATAGTAAATAATATCTAAAGTATTGCTGACTTCACCCTTCCGGGAAATTTAAATAGTTACCAAGACCAATATCGCTTTAAAAATATAATCATATGATAAGTAGGATAGACGACATAGTGATTACATTAAGAATATAAAGGAGTAAATTGAGAACAGAGTGAGTGCCAGCCCTACTCGCGTATAATGTTTGTAACGGAGGCCTTTGTAGCATACAGTGTTTTTACGGTAGCTATAAGAATACCCTAAATGAAATTTTATCAAATATGCATTCAGTTTAATCTACCAATAGGCAGCGAAACCTTGGTTCCTATAGACTAAGTTGCAAGTCTTTTTCATACAAGTTAAATAATGCAGGATAAATTTTCTATGAAAATGCGTATAGCATCTGCTGCTTAAATTTAAAGATGAAGTATACTACTCTCTGATGGAAATCCGAAAATGTTTGCATAAAAATATGAAAAATCTGTCTCAATTAATTGTTCTCATAATATTCAAGAAAAATCGTCATTTACTATGTGGGACTAATCTTAATTGCAAAATACAAAGTGATAAAACTAACAATGATGCTACGAGAATAAATCACATTAATATAAATCCAAATTTTCTTCATACATTTCCTCATAGTTATATTGACACATTGATGCCAATAGATAAAAATACTTAGCCTACTCGTGCAATTATTTCTGTAATTAAACAGCTCGGAGTCGATAAATAAAGAGATTTCGAGGCAAAAACTGAGATCATGGTCGCGGTGGTTTTACCTGGCCTTCGCAGCTTGGTCGTTTTGTCAAGGGGATCTATATAGACACATCTTGTCCGGTGTCTATTATGTCCATGATAATCTTCAGTGTCCGACTGTGGACTTGGTACATTCTCAGACGTTTCACCGGCATCGTGGTATGGATGAATGCACTAGGACAGAAGTAGAGATACCACAACTGTTCAGCAAACAGTTAGTCAAGGGATCGATGTAACTTGTCTCTGACGAGTTGTAGCCTTGTGGTAAGAATGACAGAGCTTATTGACAATTCTGACTGCAATGCCAGCGAAGCATCTGGAAATATACCAACCAAACTAACGAACAGATGTTGGAAAGTCTCACGAATACTATATAATCCGGGAAAGGTGGGTTCTTATAGGTCTCCCTGACAATAAGACCAAGTCGTGAAAACGAGGTCAAACCACTTCCTAATTTTATATTTGATAATCCTGGTAAGTGTAGTTTTGGATTTATTCAGAAGCCCTTGTAAAAAGACACTCGATAGACGTTACTTAGCCTATAGTACCATAGATTGAGAGAGCTTTTTAGGCGTGGGATACAATCTCATGAGCCTTATTGTATAGGCCTTAGTGATAATGGTCGCGTTCGATGTCCTTGTTGACAAATTACTTTAGTGAATTTTCCATCAATTTATGGGCTATCGAGGAGATTGTTAGCCGCAAAAATGAAAATAGAACCTACGTAAAGTATCTATACAACTGAAAACAACTTCAATAAAGTATTCATATGTTACCCTAGCAACATGTATCATTGAAAATTGTCCATAATAACATAGATAATACTGTGCATTGTTCAAATATTTGCTCTGAAACCAAACGCCTAATCTGGCAACTATAAGCACAATGCGTCATACGCTTACAGAAACCTTCCTGTCTATAAGCACATGCGGTACCCTCCACCCCAATCGACCGGCTTATTTCAGTTACTCTGGCCTTGCTCGAAGCCTTAGCCCAGCAATCCGGACAAATGTCACCAAAGTTAGTCCATGCAATCGGGTCAGTCTTGCTACAACCCCTACATCATCATTCCGATTTGTCAGCCTTTCCTCGTCATGTGAAATCCTCTTATCACCGTTCACTCACACTCCACCAGGACTCAGTTACCAGGCCGCCTAAGGCAGCAGCACATGCGCACGTGAAGCAAGACCAGAAGTGTGTCATAGTGACCTTTCAGCAAGGTTGCTAGAGCCAGGCCTATTCGGGACCCACACAGCTGCTTAATGAATAATATATATATATATATATACATATACAAAGCTTTATCTATGAAACACTATATTGCTGGATCGAAAATAGAATCGGAATCAATCCATAAGGATTTATTGAAGCTTTTATATGGTTTGAGCCTCAGAAGGAGAACTGAAAGGAACTACTGCTGGCCGCCTTGTCTCCAAAGAGACAGTAGAATTCCAGTCCGAATTTATAGGATCAGCATCCTGTCACGCACACTACGTAACTGCCAAAAATAATGAAAACTTCCTTCACAATGTCACTAAAATAATCTGTAATAATGCCAAAGTAATGAAAGTTCTGCAAACTGTAGCTTACATACCAACATCCAGTCCGAATAGAGTACTAAAATGTGGCTACCAGATAGGTCCACAATGCTGAGTGTTATGCTTATATGAGCTTTCCTGGTGCTTAGTTGTCGAGTATAAAAAAGCTCTGTTTTGGTATCAGACCTGATGACACGTGCTTTCTCTATTTTAACAGTTGAGATCAAGTTGTGAGCCGGCTGGCAAGACTGGACGGACATAATGCAGATGCCTTCAGTATCCGTACCAGATAGCTAAATTGGTAGCACATTCCACGTCACAGAAAGATAAATAACAAACTCCACCTCCCTCGTATGACTGACAAATCAGTAAATATATCATAAATGGTATCAGATGACGGAATAACAATGCACAAATAGGGCTGAATGCATTTTAGGTCGTACAATGTAAAGTTTCTATAAAAATTCAAACAATACGACCTATTAAATATTACTTTAGGTTATTTAGACCTATGTCTCACGGCAACTGATAAGTCGATAAAAGGCTCAGTTATGCTATCCTTCCCTCACAAGCTTAGGCAGAGTTTGTTATAAGGATGTGCTGAAAAAGACAGATGGATAGGCCTACTTTTATGCTTATAGTAGGAAAATGAACAGAAGTTGTTTGACATTGTTTTCATAACTTGATCGTATTGTCAGAAAATCTGTTAGAGGGAACTTAGCCGGAGTCCATGATGATTTATATAGTTAAACGGTGGACTTGGTATCCTCTCAGACGTTTCGCCAGCATAATCATAGAGGCTTGCCATTCTTAACCCCACACTAAGCTCGACAAATAGATAAGTGAAATCGACGCTTTGACCATTTGTCTGTCGAACAGTTGTTGGCATCCTTCCTTCTGTCCTAGTGCATTCACGCCTCCTACAATGCTGGCGAACTGTCTGGGAATATAGCAAGTCCATAGTCAGACACTGGAAAGTAACATGGACATTGTGGACTCCGGACAAGTTGCGTTCAACTAGGTCTTCCTGACAATACGATCAAGTAACGAAACCAAGGCCAAACAACTTCTATACAACGAAAACCCGTGACCATACTAAAGGCCACAACAACTTGATCTCCATACATTCGGTTAAGCTATGAAAGTAAGATTGCCAAACAATGTGCCGATTACAGCTGAACAAAAATAAAATTTTAAGTTAATCATAAAATTTGACCTTTTTAAATTGCTGCAAACATTATGGTATCGCTCACCGATTTTTCAACCAAATGAGAAAGTGTCATTTGGACACAGTTCATGAAATACCTTATCAAAAATCCATTCCGAAATTAGAGGAAAGTTACGAAACTGAGAGGTATAAGTATTTAAGTTCATAGAAAGTAAATTTAGATTCAGGAAGGATCTAGGCAAACTTTTTATTTTGGAGGATTTTCGAAGACTCTAGGATATTTTTTCGTATATAAGTAGAATTTCGAGACTACCAATAAATTAGTTATATGAAATATATTCATCCTATTTCGTTTAAGATGATGAAGGACTGGAAGTAGAATTTTCCCACAATGCTATGAGTAGAGCTGATGTTTCGATTGAATTTCACATAGCCTCGCTTTCCCAAAAGTTGTTCTTATCCAGGGTGGACTGCAATTTTGACCTCACATAGGTCTAATCAACACGCCCAACGGGAGTCGAATCGTGAGAGTGCAGCATGTGAGCTTGACACTTTAAACACTCGGCCACATTGCCACGAATGTCTTGGGTCACAGGGTCAATGTGAATTTCGAGGAAGGCCAGGCCTTTTCCACATCATATTCTTTGGCGGGATTGTCGGTGAAGCAAACGAATTTTTGCTGCAACAATCGACTACATAACTTATTTTTTCGTATATACGTAGAGTAATGTAGTCGATAAGCGTAGCAAAAATACGTTTGCTTCATCGACAATCCCACCAAAGAATGTGATATGGGAAAAGGCCTGGCCTTCC